CACTTTTTTTGGGTCATTTTGGCAAATTTTTAGTTTAATTGGACAAATTTTAAGTCATTTTGGAGTTTCTGTAAAACACAAACATCTTTATTCAGTATTTAACACACAGCAGCTCAGAAAAAACAAAAACCAGCAAATATCTGTAAAATAACTGCATTTTATATGATTTTAAAAAGTTTTTAAAAAACAGTGATTTTAGGTCAAATGCAGAAGAGTCAGTAACTGTACAGGTAACACGTTACTTAATTTTAAAAATGATATTACTTGCTGTTAAAGTAATTAAATAAACTGTTATTTAAAGATCACAGTTCAAACAGTTTTAAGATGATCAGTGTTAGACTGCGATGGAAAAAAATCCATAAAAATGAGTAAAAACTGGCATCAATGGAAGAAAAATAAATAAAAAACTGGAAACCTGTGAAGTTCAAAAACTGCAAAAAGAGTAAAAATGACGTCAATTATTTAAAATAACAACAAATATCTGTTAATTATTGCTTTTTAAACACATTTAAATCCATTTAAATGATGCAGTTTTAAGGTCAAACACTAAATGAACGAGTGACTGTCCTGGTTTAAATAAGTTCATATTTTAAACAGTTTTTAAAATTTAAAATGTGAATAATTTCCATTATTTACGGTTCTGACCTGCTTTTATAAATGTGACTTAGTCCGTTACAGTCATTAGAATGTTTTCTGTGATTAAATCTGTAAAACAACAAAAACTTTATCTTTATAAACAACTTTTCTTTCAAATACTGACAAACATCTGAAGTTAAAAGTAAAGAATAATAAAGAGAATATAAACAGATTTTATTACAAAGAAAATTCAGATTTTTTTTGTGATTTTACTGTAATTGAACAAAACAGGGAAAATCTGGTCATTAAAAAATACATTGATTAATTAAAAATTATGAGAAGAAAACATTTTTTCACTCAGTCATATGTGCGCGTGCGCGGCCTGCTCATTAACGCACTGCGCCTCCAGCGTGCGCGAGCGGACACGTGTACAGATGTGTGAGCAGCTGTTTCTGGAACCGTCGGCGGATCGCGGCTCTCCGGCGTCCCGGCCTCCCGCTGCTCTCCCCGGTCCGCCGCTTCCACTGTCCAGCCCCGCCGCGCTCTCCTCCGGCGGGGACCGGACCGGACCGGACCGGAGACCCGCCGCTCGGTTCCGATTCATGCTAATAAATGCGGCAAACGGCGTCACCCACCTTCTCGGTGACTTTCGGTCCCGTCCGCGACGCCGCGGCGGACACCGGCTGCAGCGAGGCGGCGGACAGCAGCAGGACGGCGGCGAGCATCGACCGGAGCTCCATGAGTGTCTCCCGGAGACGGCGGCGGCAGGCCCCGGTGGAGATGACGGAGAGGGCGGAGAAGTCACGGAGCGGCGCACAGCTGGCAGGCTGGCCGGGAAACAGCGCTCCACAGCCGGCTACATCAGCAGACCACTCCCCCTGGAGGACGGGCCGGACCGGAGACCCGCCCACCGAGGAGGAGGAGGAGGAGGAGGAGGAGGAGAGGAGACATGGAGAGGAGAGGAGAGGAGAGGAGAGGAGAGGAGGAGAGGAGGAGGAGACATGAAGAGGAGAGGAGGAGGAGAGGAGGAGGAGGGGAGGCTAAGAGGAGAGGAGGCAAGGAGACA